TCCGGACGCATTCTGGCGTGATATCGGTGTTTATAAGTCCACGCTGCGTGAGGGATTGCGCCTCGGCGTTGCCTAAGTTGCGCCAGTCTATAACGGGTATAGGACACACCTCTGATACCGGCTCCATAGTAAGGGGTGTGTCTGCGACTGCTAACAGCAAAAAGTCGCGATGGTGGTCCAAAGAAACTGCCGTTTCTCTTCGACTCGAAAAGCCTATCAAACCACAATTCGTGAATTGAAATTGGGAGGAAAAAAAGTAAACACAGCTGCCGCCCAGCTTCACGGTTTGCTCCACCACAATTGCCGCTCAACGCGCAGTGCCGCTCAACGCGCAGTGCCGCTCCCAGTGCAGTGCCGCTGCCTCCCCCGAAGTTGCCAGGATTGCATTACAGAACAGCTGTAACTGGAAGTAACTCAGCGACAGCTCTGATTCTCAGCAGTTTGACATCTGCACGTTCTGGTGAATCAGTTGAGCCTGGCGGAAAAGTAGGCAGGGAGCAGGAGGCAAAAGTTCTTCCTGCAGTGGATGAGCTTTTTGCACCATGCTTCCCTTTCCCACTTCTCCCCAACTCTCCATCCCCGATTTTGAACCGATTTTTGCTTGTCCTGTACACTGTATCGGACCTCTTTCCCGCTCATTCTCCCACTCGCAAAACCATCCTGCTCTACAAAATGTCAGAAGGAAAAGGAATGAAAAAAGATTTCACAGGGATTGTTTGATGTTTTCCCCTGCCATCAATGCTTGTGGTTTATCATGTGGAATGCTGAACAGTTGAGGTTTGTTCGAGGAATCATAAAAAGGTTTGCCTTTTGGGGTGTCTTTTGGGGTTCCTTATGTGCTGTTCTACTGGGGTGTTCTTGAGGCTGCGTTTTCCGTTTTTCTTTCATTTAAAACTGAAAAAAAAAAAAAAGGTTTGCCTGAGCAATCTTGAGCAGGTTCGGCAAGGAGTGCCTCACCATACGGCAACCATTGCTCATCCTCACTATAGCAACGGGAGAATCCCTTTTCAAGAAGTTTCTATAGCGGATTAATGATCACAGTACACACGCAGCTCAATTGAAAAAAAAAAGAAAAAAAAAATTACTGCCTGCCAATTGGGGGCACGTTGATGCGGTATCCAATATTACGTTTCTACTACAACTGGTAGTTATCCCTTTTGTCTTGTTTTAAAACTCAAAATTACAAAGACGAGCCATAATCACAAGACCTGGCAGGCATGCCGTACCTATGATTGAAAACAAAAGATACTAGATACCCGCGCACAACATTTCCACATAAAACATATGTAACATCTCGATACGGACAGCTTATGTCGGACAAGAGGGTTCTGCCCTGCACTGAGGGCGTATCCCTGGGGTGGTGGCAGGGCAACTGTAGATGGCAGCCTGCCACCAACACATAGGACGTCAGGTTGGTGTCAGGAAACTGGTGCCCAAATACAGGTTCGTGATTGGGCAATGTCCCCAAAATGTCACCAAATTCGTGTCGCGCGCGCCTCGGAGAAAATGTTGGTGGCATGCGGGAAAACCGCATGCCACCAACAGGCCTGCTACAGTGGCCCTGCCACCACCCAGGGATACGCCCTGAGCACCAAAACACACAGCAGAGTTAGGTAACAAAAAAACTCTTGCGACATGAACCTACCGATCATGTATGCCGTCCATAAGCTCCGCTCTGCACCGCAGGAAGCACCTCCAGAAACCGTGATAAACTCGGCGAAAAATTGGCGATTCATCTTCTGAAGAACAAAAACCGTAAATTGCCAATAATATTAACGGACGGTTGACGATAGTATCGGAAATCGCTGATGTAGAGCCTTGTGATGAGCCCTAGTATTCTGCAAAGAAAGAGGTACTCACAAGGTCGCATTAGCCAATGCGTACGTACCTGGAAAATAAACTCACAAGATTTGCGCATGAGTGGACCGGCGCGCGTAGGCAGCGAGAAGGTAGCGTATTAGCAGGTTTCATGCAGCCAGGGCAAGGTTCACAGCAGAAATCGTCCGCCACCGCGTACTTTCGATATCCTGCTGGAGGGAAGATGAAAGAACAGAATATAGGCACATATTTGAGGAACTTTTACATTTGGGAGGAACGGATTGAAAGCAGCAGCCACAGCACCGTGCACGCTAAACAACGTCAGCCATAGCTACCCTGGAGGGAAGAGGAGAGCGACAATTGGGAAGACGGGGCATGAAATCGAATCAAGAAGGAATGAACGAGTGGTGAGCTGTGGATAGAGTTTTAAGGTGTTGGGTTGCACGTGAAGATTGTCGAAGGCGAATTTGTTCGCGAGGTCGTCGAAACTTTGGACAGTTGGAATGAACCTCTCCTGCGGGCTCAGACGAATCATGACGAAGCTTGGCGAATTACGGAAACCTTCTGCCTTTTGGGTTTCTGTTCGCCACAGAAGTCCAAACCAGTCTGGGCTGTCAAATCCAATTGTGACATCGCATCTTCAGAGTGAGTGCTTTTGACGCGTCAGCAACCCTTATCCTGTAAAAATCTCGGTATAGCTGTGTTTGTTATAACGCAGAAGTTATTATGCAGATGCGAATTTAGATCCCGGCGTCATGCAATTTCGGTGAGCTCGCGGCAGTCCAAGTACACCACTCTACATCCAGCAGAACCGAAGTAAAATTCGCTGTAGTCAATTTTCACGTGCGTGACTGGTTCGTTGCGAATTGCTGCTGGTAGCTGCAGAGACAATGGGGAAGGGGGTACATAGTTTGCGACATGTGTAGCAATACTAAAGCACTGTTTGCCCTCCTAAACAGTGTTTAAGGTGACCTAATTCGTTGCTCGTGCAATGGTGAGTGCGCATAGTGGGGGAAAACCCAGTTTTGGGCATGGGATGTGGCGTCACACATTTTGTAGAGTGGTCGCCGTCATCATGATGTGCTACGTGGCTGGATCTGACGGTTGAGGGAAGAAACAGCCGTCAAGCTCTGGCACGACGACGAGCAGCCGTAAAGCATGCGAAATTATGATAGGCTGGCTGGCTTCATTTGGGCTGATGTGGGTTTAGTGATGGGTGGTTTGGCACTTCTATATACTCTCCTCGCCTGGCCTGCACTCAGTGGCAGTAAGGTGGGATTGAGGGTTCATGCAATGAGGTTTTTGGATGCTGTGAGAAAGGAATGTGAGGGAGAGGAGATGAGAGGGATCATGGGGAGGAGAAGAGGAGAAACGAAAGGCGGCTGGGAGGAGCACGAATCACACACTTGCACACGGAGACACACGGAGCAATTGCAGACTCGGCGGCTGTACCAATTGACCAGCTGAGAAAAGCGGTGAGTTTCCATCACAGAACTCTTGCATGTTGGAACTGTATGAGTCCCGAAAGTCAGGAAGGAGGTGGCAGTGCACTGCCTACGATGAATGTGGTGTGCTGAAGACCATTTCTGGTTGGTGTGGTTGTGGGACACACAGAGAATCAACGGTTGAGAAGGAGTCAGGATAAAATGGACGGATGGGCGTAGGAATGTCGGGCTGTGATGTGATGTGATGTGATGCGATGTGACGCGATGTGATGCGGAGATTTGGGGTGGGATGGATCTGGGGTTGTTGGGATCGGATCGGGACGGGACGGGACGGGATCGGGATGGGGGAAAAGTGAAAGGAGGGATGGATGGATTGAATGGAGAAGGGGAGGGAGGGAAGGAAAGCGGAGCAGACTGGCAGGGTCAAGAGGGGTGTGGTCGGTCAATGCACACACCAACCTGCTCTGGTCAGGTCTAGCTCGATCCATCCGGCCACCCCTCCCACACCGTTGGCTTGATTGTTATTTCTGTTGGAAAGAAACAAAAACGGGAACACTGTTTTGCTTTTACGGAACGGAACCGCTGGTCTGCTGCTCTTCTGTCCTCTTCTGCTCGGCTGCAATGAGATTCTATTCTAACTGCACTGTAGCTAGCACGTTGCCACACCTTGCTGTACAAACTGGCTGGGTACAGTACTGTAATTGTTGTGCGCATCGACTGGAAGCTCAGGATTTAGCAGAGCGTTTTGTACTACAATTGATGCCCAACCAGTGCACGCGGATTTGCCTTGCGCCGGATGGAGACGCTGCACCCGAGGTTGTTTCCCCAGCCTGTTGCTCCCACGTTATAAGCGCGTCGCGTGGTTATCAACCAATAGTAACGAACAGACCGAGGTCAAGCAGAAGAGACTGAAGTCAAATAAGGTAACAGATCTTGTTTATAAGCACCTGCGAGACCTTTTTAGCTAGCTGCGAATTGACGAAACTTATGCGAAACGCTTGTTACAGCTTATACGCCCCCTTCACAAGGCAACCGGGAGGGGCTCAAACAGGCATCAATTGTACAAACTTGGTGTACTTGGCCAAGAGCAATCTTTCGAAGAGTGCTGTTACCGTATTAGCCTGCACTTCCGGGCGGTTATGTGACCAACTCCCGTTCAATTTCGACTCCGCCTGTGTCCCAGTGGGCTGTGTATTGTGACGAATCGCCAGACTTATAAATCCACTTGCATCGTGACAAGTCTGTGGATAGCCAATCTTCGTCAGGATATTGTGTTGCGGAAGAAGCCCACCCATGACGACGTCAATGACAATGACAATGTCTCCAACACCGCCATGGCTGCCACCTGGATTTTTGGATTTACCAATGTCGGTGCTCCCGTGTGCTACTCACGCTGTTAACCCGCTAACGAGCTTCGTCTTCTCCAAGGGATTCTCGCGATACAGCTTTGGTGTCCATACAGAGGGCATTGATTCGTGTTTTCCTGAAGCGTTTACTCGTTTGGTAACAGCATCTAACACCAACGTGGGACTCCCAAGTTCTATACAGGTCGCTGAGTCAGTGCATTGTCATCATGGTTATGTCGCGTTTCCTAACAATCACCGCAAATTCTCAAGGCAATCAAAAGCATTACCAAGGCGTGAATTCCAAACCTGCCGTGGAGGCTATTTTAAGGCACTCAGAAAGGCTTTGTCTCAAGAGTTCAGCTGGTTGTGGTGGCTCTTTCATCAACACGCCATGCCTCCGAAGGCAAGATCTGCTAAGCCTGTTAAGCCTGCCATGATGGACCCTGCTGCTGCTGCGGTTACGCTTGCGACTCCAGCCGCAGGTCCTTCATCAAGGCCGATCTCGGCTTCCGCCGTTCCGTCTAAGTCGGCGCGTACGCTTTTTGCGGAAGATGACACGGTGTTCCTGACATTGTCGGCCAAGCTGGCTGCTATCAGGATTGAACAAGCTGCTGGTGGGAAGCAAGACAATGGCAAAGGGAAGGATGCTGATTTCAAGGATGCTGTGTCAGACGCGGAGGAGGATCACTCTGCAGAGGAGGTAGAAGGTGTCGAATCTGGTGCTGCTCGGCGTACCTGCTTCCTTGATGATGAGGATGATGGCCTCTTGGCGCATGACCCGAAGGAATGTTTTGAGGAGAAAGCGAAGGAGGAGCTGGCGGCGAAGCTGCGCTTTCCGCTCACCCTCCTGATTCCAAATGATCGTCTGCAAGAGGTTCGGCGCACGCAGGCGACGGTTAAGGAGCTGCTGAGTTTATGGGTGAATTGCAATGAGCTTACGGAGAATGCGGCTAAGACAACGACCTTCCAGGATCTTAACCCAGGTTACATTGCGAAGAAGCTCTATGGTCGTATGCAAGTTGTTTTTGTCAATGCTTCTGACGCTAACTTCGTCTGGCGTAATCGCGTTGAGCATCAGTGTGTGGACGGGAAGTATATCTTCCTGGATTGGTTGTACCCGGAAGATCCGAGCTATACCAGGAGGAAGATCACTGACCCGCTGGTTATCGAGGTTCTCTTCCTGGGTGTTGCTGCGGAGATATCTCCGGAGATGCTTCACGAAGCGCTTGCAGTCTCCCCGCTGAAGATCTGCAAGCGCCCGGCTTTCAAGTCTGGCTTCTGCTTCCATCGGGTGGTGCACCCTGTCTCGGGGTTGGACACAGATCGGGTTAAGGGACTGGTCGTCGCGCATGAGAACGACAAGTTCCGGTGGTTGCACTACTTTGAGAGTCCGATCTCGCCTGGCTCGAAGATCATGGTGCACTACCCGGCTCTGAAGTGCTCGCTCTGCGGGGGTATGCATTCGGTGCATAACCACAACGACTTTGTTACAGAGCGGCAGAACAACATTTCCAAGTGGAACCTCACAGTGGAGAGGGTCCAGGAGCTTAATGGTAGAGACGGTGCTTGCTGCTTACCTCTTTCCGCTGTTGATGTCTTTTCTCGGCTGGTGGTGTCTGATGTCCGGCTGCTTACCTTCCCTCCGTGCAGCGGCTGCGACTGTAGCCACGGCGACGACCAAGATTGTCCTCAAGGACCACGCGCTTGTGCTGATCTCAACGACCAGCAATCGGGAGGAGTGGGTCTGCCTGCTGGAGTGCTGCGAGAAGGGGAAAGGTGGTTCTTTCGAACAAGCTGCTCATCATGTGCTATCCCAGCGTCATCGGGGGGGGCTGGCGAAGCAGGGTGCGGCAACGCGTGTGCTCAAGGCCAATCTGAGTCTCCGCGTGTTGCGCAAGGAGTATGGGGTCTAGGGAGAAGATCGGCAATGAAGGGAGAGGAGGTGTCATGTGTGTTAGCGATGGTTTCAACCATGTTGTATGCACTGCGATATAGTGGTAACCCTGTTTGTTTCAGATACTTGGCTACAGCCCGTGGATGCGGTGGGGCTTTCACTCGGTTGTTAAATGGATAAACCCTGCGAACTCACGGTGTGCGAGCTCAATGTTAATGGGCTCGGGAGCAGAGGGAAGCAGCGAAATTTGAAAAAATGGACGAAGAAGGAAGCAGACATCTTCATTCTCACAGACACAAGAGTAGCTCCGGATCACGAGTGCTGGAAGCGGCTTAACTTCCATCACTGCTTCGCTGTGGCTAACACAAAAAGAGCGGGGGGGGTGGCGATAGTAAGCAACAACAGACAGCTAGTCTTCGAAGACATCACAACTCACGCCTCAGGGAGGCTCATTGCTACGGAGGTTAAATGGGACACGTTTAGTTTCACGCTTCTGGCTGCATACCTCCCGGCGAGTGCGTGCAGCAGAGTCACTTTCTTCAGAGATGCGCTGGGTCCCTTTCTCACGAACCTGGCGGGACGGAGCCGGTTGCTGCTGGCGGGTGATCTCAATGTGGTGGAGGATCCGCTCTTGGATAAGTCCCCAGCGGGGGGGTCGTCAGGGGAGAACGACAGACTGATGCAGTTATTTGGTGCTCTCCTCATGTCTGATGTCTTCCGTGCGCTGAACCCCGGTGCTTGGGAGTATTCCTTCTATGCTCGAGCGACGAAGTCGAGCTCGCGGATCGACCGAATTCTGGTGTCGGCGGAGCTGCTCCCTGCCATGGCGGATTCCTCCCACACTCGGTCGCTGAGAGGTGTCTCGGACCACAAGTGCGGTGTTAAGGTGGTGCTGCAAGCGAACCTGAGGCTGCACATGGGCCCTGGTATCTGGCGGCTGCCGTCTGCAGACACAGCAAAACCAGGAGTGGAGAAAAGGATCAAGGCGGTTACGGAGAAGCATCATGAGAAGGGGTCTGGTAATTTTGGCTCCTTGCTTATCAAGTTAAAAGCGGCGCTCAAGAGATACGCGACGGAAGAGCGGAAGAGAGTGCAGCCAACGTTACGGCACCTGGAGTTGGCGGTCTCCGGATTGCAGCAAGAGCTGATGCGGGAGCCTCAACGGGATGACTTGCGTCTACTTCTGGCTGACAAGGAGTCGCAGTTGGGGGCATACCTGAAAGGGGAGAATGACCGGCTGCATCTCCTGGCGGGGGTCAAGGAAGAAACGAAAGGGGAGATTGCGTCGAAAGTCCTATCGGGGAAAGTAAAGTCGAAGAAAACACGGACAATGATTACTGCGTTGACATTCCAAGGGGTGGAGCAGAGGGGGACGAGGGGGATCCTGGATGCTGCTTCCAGTTTCTACTTGTCGCTGTTCGTGGAGGCTCCTTCGTCGGGCCTGCCCTGCTGGAAGCCTGACCTGCGGAAAACGCTTGACGAGAGTGAAGTAGCTGGGCTTGAAGCGGAGTGGACGGAGGAAGATGTGAGAGCAGCGCTGAAAGGCATGGCAGGGGACAAGTCTCCAGGCGGTGACGGGCTGCCGAAGGAGCTCTTTGAGCGACACTGGGATCTGCTGAAGGGCGATTTCATGGGTTTTGTGAAGCAGTTCGAGGCGTCCGGGGTGCTCCCGGAGGAAGTGCAGGAGGCAGTAACCATCCTTCTGCATAAGAAAGGGCCGAGGGAGCAGATGCAGAATTATAGGCCCATTACCCTTCTGACGAGCTCGTACAAGGTGGTGGCGAAGCTTCTTGCTAACCGAATGAAGAAGGTTTTGAGCACGGTAATTTCTGAAGAACAACATGGCTTCCTACCTGGTAGACGGCTGTCTGACGCAGTCTCAACGGTAGCGGATGTGATCGAAGCGGCAAATAACGACAACGAAGACTGGTACCTATTAATGGTGGACTTCCAAAAGGCTTTTGACTCGGTGTCGCGTACCTTCCTGTTTGACACAATGGCGCTGATGGGATTCCCGGAGAAATTTGTTGGTTGGTGCAGAGGCCTGCACGAGGGGGTCCTTCACTCGGCTGCTAGTCAACGGCTGGCTAGGCGACCGTGTTGATGTCTGCAAGGGAGTACGGCAGGGGTGCCCACTGGCGCCGTATCTCTTCTTGTGCGCAGTGGAGCCCGTCTGCCAGGAGGCAAAGCGCAAGAAGTTAGGCGTCTGCGATGATCACGGGGATCGCCTTGCTTACCTGGGGTATGCAGATGATACAACGTTGATTCTGAAGGGGAAGCGTCAAGTTGGGCGTGCACAAGAGCTCTTGGAGGAGTTCGGAGCTCGCTCAGGGCTGCAAGTAAACTAGGAGAAGTCGGCGTTGCTCCCGCTGGGGAAGAACCTGGAAAAAGGAAAGGACGTGGAGTCAGGCTTTGCATGGGTCGAGCCAAAGGACGCGGAGAGATTGCTAGGAATCTGGGTCTCTCCGCCGGGGAGTGCAGATGTCACCTGGGACAAGACGCTCGCCAGGGCAGCAGAGGAACTTACAAAATGGCAGTCGCGGCATCTTACCACAACGGCGAGGGTGGCAGTGATCAACGCGTATGTCTGCCCAATCTTAGCCTTCCAGGGCCAAGTCTATCCCCCGTCGGAGAAGGTGTGGAAGCGGATAATGAAGCTGATCGTGAACTTCGTCTCGGGGAATCGGGCGTCGACGGAGCAGCACTTTACGCTCTGGAGCAGGGAGCTGATCTTCAGGCCGCGGAAGGACGCGGGCTGGGTGTGCGTGATCCGTTTGTTGAAATCAGCGGGCTGGCAGCAAGGCGAGTGGGCCTTCTGGTACTGAACAACGGGGGGATCCGCAGATGGCTGGCGATGAAAGCGGCAGATCTCCCGGCGGGTTTCCGCTCCTTCTGGGCGCATGAGGAGTTCCTGAAATCCTGGAAGGGGCGCAGTTGTCAGAATGTTGTATTTGTCTAGCCTGCAGTGGGGTACTCTATAGCGAGTACAGCCCAATCTAGGGTTTCCTATATGTACTCAACTGCTTGCTAGTGAACCCCCTCCTTTCTTCATTCTTACTTTCTACTGCTAGTTCTGACATGCCATCAGAGCAGGTCGATCCCCTTGGGTCGATCCTGTGGGTGGGCCCACCACCTCACTGCTTCCGCTGCTACTGCTACTCTGTGTGTTGCACGCCCCGTGGCGTGCGACGGATTTTTCATCCCGCCGCGCGCTCGGAGCGTGCGGCGGTTTTCTGCCCGCCGTGCGCCCCGAGGCGCGCGGCGGCTTTCTGCCCCGTCACTCCGCGCGTCGCTCCCGGGAGGCGCTGCGACGGGCGACGGGGACCCGCGCGTCGCCCCCCGTCGCCCGTCGCGGCCTGCGCGACCTGCGTAGGGCCCGCGCGCGGCCCGTACAGTCTGCGCGCGGCCCGTACGGGCTGCGCCGGGCCCGCGCGCGGCCCGTACGGGCTGCGCCAGGCCCGTGCGCGGCCCGTACGGGCAGCGCCAGGCCCGCGCGCGGCCCGTACGGACTGCGCCAGGCCAGGGCGCGCCTCGGGCCGCCCGCACGCGGTTCGTACGGGCTGCGCCAGGCCCGTGGGCGCCCTGTTTTCTCTGCCCCTGCGCTGCCCGCTGTCCCCCGTGCTTCTGACGGCGCCCCACCCCTGCTGCTGCCCGTTCTCCTGAATTAGGGTTTGGGGGTGGGGGGTATGGGGGTGCAGTTTCTGTGCGTCGTCCCCTACTCCTCCTCCTCCTCCATCTCCCAGTGCTGCAGCTGCCGCTGAGGGGGGTGGGTGTGTGGGAGCCGAAGGAGTGGTACTAGGGGGGTGACGTGCAAGTGGAGTTAGGAGTGAAGCAGTGGGTGTGTGGGGGGTGTGTGGGACAGTTGGAGGAGGTTGAGCGGAGGCTGCTGTCTTGTCGTCCGCAGCACCTGTAGTCCGGGGCGCACTGTCCTGGTAGCCCAGAGAGTCTGCTGCGCCTGTCGCCCGAGGGTCCGTTGCTCCTGTAGCTCGTCGTAGCCCGTGAGCCAGTTACTCCAGTAGTCCGGGGCGCACTGTCCCGGTAGCCACTGTGCCAGCAGCTCCTGTTGCCCGTGTGTCTGCAGCTTCAGCCGCCGTCTCTCATCTTCTCTCCTCTCACAGTCCCTCCTCCTCCTCACTTGCCCGCTGTGATTACCTCTAGCTTTGCTTCTTATTGTGAACTCCTGCTATACCTGCTCATTGTGCTGATTACACCCCACTTTGGCTATGGGGGTGTGTCAGAATGTTGTATTTGTCTAGCCTGCAGTGGGGTACTCTATAGCGAGTACAGCCCAATCTAGGGTTTCCTATATGTACTCAACTGCTTGCTAGTGAACCCCCTCCTTTCTTCATTCTTACTTTCTACTGCTAGTTCTGACAGCAGTGTGAGGTGGAAGCAGACATGTGAGGCTTTCATGAAGTCTAGCATTGCAAAGAAAGGTCCACTATTGCGGTGGGACATCGCTCAGGAGCCACTGCTGTTTAATCGGCAGATCTTGCCGAACGGGAAGAAACCGGTGGGGCGACAGAACGCGGCGAAGGGTTTGGAGCTGGTTCAGCTTGGCGATTTTGTCGGCCTGGCGGAGGACGGTACGCGCTTTTTCAAAGGCGAAAAGTTGCTGGAGAAGGAACTGGGCACGCTTAAGAAGGCGCGGAAGGCGTTTAAGATTTTCGGCAGCGTGCCGGACTCCTGGAAGCAGAAGCTGCTTGCGCCTGTTACGGGGGCGGAACTCCTGGCGGAGTCAGCGTTCGTTAAAAAATTGGGCGTGGTGGGCGTCTGGAAAGTGGAGAATGTGGTGCAGGTGGGTTTTGCCTGCAGAGCATGTGACTGTTTTGGGATTCCGCTGGTTGGGATTGCGGGGACACCTGTGGTCCTGGGCTTGGATGAAGTGGTACCGCTAATGTTGCGGAAAGGAAGAGTGGTGGGGGCGGGGGGGTTGCCGGAGGTACGGCTGCGATGTTCGGAGCTGTGCGCGGGCGACCAGATCCCCCCCTTCAGACAGTTGAGGCTGCTTTTTGGCGC